CAATTAAAAAAATTTTTTTTTTGTGGGAGAGTGCAAGTGAGTGAAGGACAGAGAGAGAGGGAGAGAGAGTGTGGAGCCTGAAGCAGGGCTCGAACTCACGTACTGTGAGATCATAACCTGAGCCAAAGTCAGATGCTTAACCCACTCAGGCACCCCCACGTTTCACTCTCATTACGAACGAGCAGAAGGCCAAAGGAGCTCTTACTTGTTCGTTGTGATCTATGTGTCTGTCACTATGCCAGACACTTAATTGCCTCATTTATTTCTATTAACAGTTATTGATGGAGCAGATGCCCAGACTGGGTTAATGTTTATTGAACTCTCGCTGTGCTGGGAAGCACTTTGCGAAGAACTTTTCACGCAGTATCTCCCAGTCATTGCTCTTTATAAAGTGCCTGTTACATTTCCCTGCTGCAGGTGATGATTCAGGTTGAAGGGATGTTGGAGGGATGTTGAAATATTTTTGCACCCAGTGGCACATTCGAAGTTGGAGAGGACAGACTCGAGCCCAAGTGCGTCTGTCTCTGACACTCGCAGTCAGTCTGACATCAGCTCCGTGAGGGTGAACCGTCTTCCTCCTGGTTCTGTTCTCTGCTGTGTCACCAGTGCCGAGAATGCCAGCACACAGTCGGTGTTCAATAAATGCTTGTTTAATGAATGACTAAATGGTCTTAACATGATGCAAGCAGCCAGAGGTTATGTTTCTTTGTCTCCCGAGTCTTTGTTTTTCCACAGCATCACCGTCCCAGGTATAGGTGAGTAGAAAATTTATTTGCATGTGTATACATAAAAGTAGAAATATATATGTAAATAAAGGAATATGTGTATATATATTTATAAATTTGCATACTGTAATCTTTTCCTGTCTTTTGGTTTATTTTGTTAGGATACATTGTAAGAAATTCGATTATGGGAGCAAATACAGTATAGAAACATTTCATACAGTCTTAAGAATACGGTAAAAAGTTTTTTATGGTCAAATCTACACGTCTTGGTATTAGATACACGAGATAGCCTATTTTTGCTGCTACTTTGCCAGCACTGTTTAAAAAGATACTTTTCAGTGATGTTCTGTTGGAGTGCATTGCTGCCTCGCTGTTCTTGCATCTGCCTTATGGCTGGGTGCTGCTGAGTCCTAAACATGGATGTTTTTCAGGTCCTAAGCCAGTTGTGTTCCTGCAGCATGGCCTGCTGGCCGATTCCAGTAACTGGGTCACAAACCTTCCCAACAACAGCCTGGGCTTCTTCCTGGCGGACACAGGTTTTGACGTGTGGATGGGGAACAGCAGGGGAAACACCTGGTCTCGGAGACACAAGACTTTATCCCCTTCTCAGGACGAATTCTGGGCTTTCAGGTAGATTGGAATTGATGGTGACGGGGGCCTACTTCCTTAGTACCCTTACCACAGACACTCGGGAGGCAGGTGGATGGGTAGCTCAAGGTTATCAGAGAGGGGAGACGGATGCCTGGGGAAAGGTTTTAAACCTTATGAGGAATTTGGTAAATCACAGTGAAGTACATTATAAGTAATGATTACACTTAAGAATTAGACTCAACTATGGACTTTTAGTTACTTGGGCATTCTGGGTCCTGTGGGAGGTGGTGGGCAAATTGCGTCCTGGAAACTTCTTCTTTCCCCCATACACATGCACACCGAATGTCTGCTTTTCCATTTCCAGAAATTGTCCTTTTTCTGTCAATCCTGGCTGTACCTATTAATCCCTGCGTGACACTGGGCATGCTGCATAAGCCTTCTGTGTCTCAGTTTCCTTGTTGTAAAATGGGGTAATAACCGCCTATCTCCCGAGGCCATTGGGGGATCAAAGGAGAGGATACGAGGAGAGAGCCTGGCACGCTGCAGGCACTGGTGACAGTCCGCTTACCCATCTCCTGATGATGAATGGCACACACACATGTAACGTGTCCAGGGCTGTGTCCTGCTACCTGGCATGAGGGAAGGTCAGACCTCTGGACTCCTTCAGGCTTGTGTCCCGTTTGTGAAACCACAGCTTACCTACATGCGTGAAATGCAAGAATGACAAATTTTTACCAAAGGAATATACTTGTTGGGCTGCCACTGGTAATAGTGAAAAGCCAGAAACTACCAAATGCCCATCAGCCGCGAATGGACAGATGAAGTGCCGTGTATCTATACAGTGAACATCCCACGGCTCTGTGACAGCGTGAATGTAGCCGGAAGAACACATACTATTTGATCTCATTTATAGAAAGGTTCAGAAATGGGTATAACATAACTTATGGCATAAAAAATGAGGACAGGACCTTTGGGAGGGAGGCAGAATTAGAAAGGGGCCCGCGCAATCCTGTTGATGTTTTCTGCGCTCAGTTCTGTGCTGCTCTACGCAGCTGCGCTCAGCTTATGGTTATTCATCCCCCCGCACCCTTCTTGTTAGCGTGCGGTTATGTTTGCGTGCAGCGTCTTAATGAAAGGGTTCCTTTTCTTGATTACAGTTATGATGAGATGGCAAATTATGACCTATCAGCTTCCATTAACTTCATTCTGAATAAAACTGGCCAAGAACAAGTGTATTACGTGGGTCATTCTC